GGTACTAACTCCGTTAGCATTCGACGACTTCGTGATGGTGATCTCCTCGCGGTGCTGAACCGGTTAGATACGCATGTCCGACTGAAAGACAGCATCCAGGCCCTCACAGAAGTGCTTCTCAGTCTGGCCACATGGGGCATCCTGCCTGTGACGAGAATTGGCTTGGAGACGTATGCCTCTGCGTCGCAGGTTCGAAAACTGGCTTCGGAGCCTATGTTTCTGGGGGGCCTATTATCTTGGTGTGCTAGTGCAGCATCCGACTCGGCCCTCGCGATGTTAACGCAGCCAGCTCTCCACTCGGCGACTAAACACCGCGACAGCACGGCCGAGGTGGGCAACCTTTTATTTCACGCCGACGACTGATATTCGTATAGCATTAACCAATAGAGGACACATTGCAAAAATCATAAGTAATCTCTATAGAAAGAGCCCTCGACATTACCTAAAAAACCCCTACCAACTAGAACTCCTAAAGAGCGTCAAAGCAAGACATAACAAAAGCTCTAAAAGAGCTACCAGTATTAATCAAAATAATATTACTATAAACTACTTACGAGAGTATACTACGTCTATAAGTAAGCGCTAGAAGACGCTAATTTTATCCTTATTACTAAAAAGAAAGGGATACCTAGTTACCTCGTAAATATTTACTACTTTTTATAAATATTTGCGTAGTAAATAAAGATACTCTAGTTAGTTTAGTACCTAAATATTATTATAGTTTATAAAATTTATAGCAATAAGGCGAACTATTATATTATTTATAAACGCATACTACGATTATTATAAAAGGCTATTAATAACCTATTTTTTTAATTATTAACGCTTAATAATAATTTTATAATAAGTCTCCTCTTATAAAAGCCTATTTTATTTTATAAGTAAATATATAATCGAGGTACTAGTTTATTTTAAAAAAGTAGGGTCGTAATACAGCTAACTTAGCTACTCTTATATCTTAATATACTTTAGTAATAGGGTTAAGCTAAGTATTACTTAATTTCTTATTTATTAGCGAATTTAGTACTAATTAGAATATTTAGATAGTTAGAAAAATTATTAACTACGTAGCCGTAAGAAAAACTTAGATAACTTAAGCTATACAATAATAGAGCTAATATAAAGATATATAACAGAAAGCGCTAACTTTAGGCCGGACGGTCCGAAGTATTAGGATTTAGAAGTCGTAAGCTTCTTTTTAGCAATAATTACTATAATATTTATGGGCGAGTTAAGCGAGGTTAGCTTATACTAATGCCTTATTAAATTAGTTATTAATGTATTTTTAATATTTTTTTTTATATTTATAGTAAATAGAAAAGTTAAAAGGACTAGTTATAGTATAAATTTAGTAAGAATATAAGTATTTTAGGTAGCTAGAGCGAAGTTAATATAAAGTAAAATATTAAGTATCTTTTGTTTAGCCCGTTTCCTAATTACTATATTAATTAAGGAAAGTTATTAAATAAGATCCTAAACTATAACTATAAATACTATTCTTTAAGGTACTAGCCCCTAATAATAGTAATTAGTACGTAGCTTCCTCTATTTAAGTTATATTATTTAAGCTAAGAGCTTACTTAAGCGGACTTTTATGTATATAGTTTTATTTATATAGAACTTTATATAAGTGGATATATACTTAAGTATATTCTTACGCAGGCGGCTTTGCTTAAGTATGCTTATACATAAGTAGCTCTGCTTAAGTGCAATATTGCGCAAGCAGCTTTGTTTAGGCAGTATTTCTATGTAAGTAGGTATGCTGAAGTAGTCTTTTACGTGTGTAGTTAGTATACTAATAAACTCATCGGGGTCATGCCTGCTCGAGTTGTAGGCAACCGCAGCGCAAGCTCCCCATCCGACCTGAGAATGATTAGGGGCTCGGTTTAGAGGTAGGGAGATTGGAACTAAAGCCACGACCAAACCCTAGGTGCGCGGCTGACCTCTTTACTTAGTACGAAGCAGCCTGACAGATTGTTACTGAGGCATCCGCTATACCGTCATGTAGCTGCTAGACGGATTCACGCTCAACCGATCTAATTGCCAATGTACCCGGAGCTGCCGCCTCAATCATGCAACTCCGACTAGCAGATATTGTGCTATTATTTGAGGATTACAATATATTTCCCCTGTACCATTACATGCGCCTTTCATCGCAGTCAGACGAGGAAAGGCGTTCTGAATAGGTATGGTGATAACATCAGACCTGAGCCTACCCCATCCCCTGCAAAAAGCTTTCCAGGCCACGAGTATGGAGAGCATATACGCCTATCATCAACACATCTGATACAAAACTGGCTGATGCTATCCCTTTTGCTTCTGGCGCTTCTGTCCATTATCGTTATGGTGATCATCATCCTGCAGCTTCCTTTTTTTACCTTCGTTCTTGGACACGGAATCTGCTCTGTTAGTAGAGAATCTCGGCTTTGGAGGCGATTGCCACTCGTCAACCATGCGGGCACTTGTAGATGCGGACAGTTTCTGGTCACAAGTGGATGGCGGATCAGGGCTTGATGTTTGTCGTGAATGTGGTGACAAGCCGACAGACGTGTCTATCAACGACAGATATGGCGACGGGAGCGGCGAGATTTGGTCTGTTGGTGGTGTAACCTTGAGAATGCCGTCCAATTGCTCTGGTGGGTGCTCACAGAACGCCTGATCGCTGTCACCTCTTTCGGCTACCACGACTTCATCTTCACCTGGCGGCGATAGATTCGTCTCCGATGTAGGACAGTCGGACACCTTCCAAGAGGGATCATTCCACAAGTTCTCTTCATCCTCATTCCAGTCTTCCCATCCCCGAGGTGAGTAGAGGCCGGAAGCTATCGTGTTGTCGTACTCAAATGGGTCATCCGCAAGCTCAGACGAAATCTCTCGGGTGTTGTATTTGCTCCGGAGATCGCCCTTTCCATCGATGCAGTATTCAGTCTCATCTGCGTCGTCGATCCGTGGCACCCTGTTCTGTTTGTCGCCATCCTTCCAGCCGAACACCACACCACATAGGACTTGCAGAAGACTGTCAAGGCTACCCGTTTGGCTAGCTTTGAGGGCCGCATGGTGAGGAGTCTTTGAGAGTGATGTATTCTGGATGCATGCGACTGCAATATCGAGGATTAACGTATCGTACTCCCGCCGGCGTTCTTCACATTGAACGTCCAGGAGTTCTTCAAGGTGCTCACGACTCTGGGCGAGCTTCGCGGCGGCACTGACGTCGGCAAAATAGGCATCTTCGTCTCGTAGCGGGATGGTGATGGTATTATATCGATGCCAGTATTTATTCCAGAGCGGTGTCGGGTTGCGGAATGGAAATTTAGCTCTTTTGATCCAAGCCTTGTCCTTCTCGCAAGTCACCTCCGGCGGCTGGAAGGCGGGCATCGTGTGGTCGGTCAATCGATCGGTCAATCGCGGTCCCGTATTGGAGCTACGCGCCGTGTTCGGAGAGTTGGGAGATTGTGTGACCGAAGCGTCGGCAAAATCAGCGAAGTATGCAGCGCGTCGAGAGACTGAAAATCAGGGAAGCGTGGAAACAGCTTGAGGGGCACGTTGTGTTGATAGCATGTGTCGCAACGGACCAAATGCTTCAATGAACGCAGAAAATGGTCAGAGGCAATTTACGTAGCCTCAGCCCCGTGACCTTATCGATTGGTCAGCGCCTCGGTAACCAGGTCCCTGGCGGCCAATTTTAGCAGCATCGTAAGCGCCGGCCTGTGAGGTACTGCAGGTAACTAATCCAGGTCTCGTAGTGCTTATAAGAACATGTGCCGTTCTTGACAGAACTGTTTTCCAATCATTGGTTTGTTCACCTGGCTGTCCATCTGCTGTATGTCGAAAATGTCGTCTGATGGAGAATCAACTCAGCCTTTCAGCGACTCTTCCGAGATGCAACGACGCCTGGACCGAATCGCAGCTGAATACCAGAAAACAGGAGAACGAAGCGGCGTTGTACAGCCAGGATTGTCGGCTCCTGGCGAGGACCACCTGGGACGAACTTGCGGGCTAAAGGCCGAAGAAAGAGCAACACAAGCGGCCGCCAGCGTGACGGTCGCTGAATTAACCGAAGCTCTTACTAGTGCTACACTCGCTTCGGCACCGGACGCCCGGCTTGTTCTCGCTTGCCCCCACTGGCCGAGAGGCGCCGATCCAGCAAGTGTCCGGCTTGCAGAAAGTGCTGACGGTTGGGACGTGGTGGGTGTAGTGCAACGCACACACGATGTGAACTTCACTATTTGTCTCCCCTTCTACGACGACCCTTACGAGCTGCCCTCGCGACGGGCCATACCTCACTACCTCCGTTGCATACTGTACTATGAACCTGCCAACGACGACTGCGTGTTGCTCAACCAATCCCTCACAGACATCTACCTGATTCGTCTGGGTTCGACAATGTGTCGCGCGCGTATGTCATACGATCAAACTCACATCATCAGGCCTGGTCTGTGGAGGATTCTAGCCGTTGGTAGCAACAATATTGCAGAGCAGCACCTGGTCGATATTTTGATCCTTCGAAGACGATTCTCCGTCTCTATACATAAGGCTCCGGCCGAATCGCGGACATCTACCAAACGCGCGGCTAGCGACGAAGAGGAAGCAAACGCGAAACGCCAAAAGAGAAATGGGGACGTGACAGATATTATCCTAGCCTCGACAGCGACTCCCGCTCAAATCCCCATCGCTAGGGCTCCCGGAGCTAGCACGCCGCTGGACCTGATCCCCAAGTCCGCTAAGTGCATCGTCCGCACCAGAGGTACACCACTTCTAGACTTTGCAGATGGGGAATCAGCGACCGTTGTGGTTGCACAACCCACTACTGCTAGCACTGCGAGCGCTTTTCCGCGGCCCGACCCAGTTGGCGAAGTAAACAACAGAGGTGCGGTTACCTACAAACTGGACCGGCTTGAGGAAATCACCAAAACGCCATCAGCCAGCTTGTTCACTGCCAGACACTCGGGATTGCTAGGAAGGATTGTTGTTAAAGTCACCCGATACGAGGGAAAGGAGACCAGGGAACTCATTCGGTGCGCGGGGATTTGGCAACGAGAGAAATGCTTCCTGGAAAAGTTACATCATGTAGGTCGTGCTACCAGAATCCCATATATGTTCGCACGCGCTACTAAGCTACTTTTACCACTTTCAGGAAAGGATCGTATCGCTTCAGGCCTTTGACGGCCGTCTTCTCGCAATGTACGAAGAGCACCTTCCCCCGTCACTTAGCCGCGGCATCAACTCTCCGTTTTCGGCTGCGGACGCCTACGCGATTCTCCGTGATATGTCGTCCGCCTTGACATATCTGTCGTCTCGACAGGTCCCGGTGATCCATAACGACATCAAACCAGCCAACATCGCCTACTCTCCCCAACGAGGCGCTGTCCTACTTGATTTCGGTTTGGCTATGTACAGCCGAGAAAAGCACTCAACAGGTGGCACGCCGTGGTATATTCCTCCAGACCTTATCACCGAAGGGACGCGTGGCGCACCAGGCGACATATGGGCTTTAGGCGTCACGATGCTCTACGTGGTGGGAAAGATCAGCCTTCCTGAAAAGACAAGAAAGAGCTGGCTAATCAGGGATCTGAAATCCCGAGATAACGTAGCCCTGAGACGCATGATGGATTGGCTTGGTTTTGTCTCTCGCGCTAGGGAAGGTTTGAGTCGTAATGATGAGATTGAAGGCCTCGTCTATCGGATGTTAGAGCCTAAAAGCAAGCTTCGAATCCAAGCTGGGCAGAGTGCTGTCGAGTTCCGCCAGACACCGTGAATCTCCTAGATCTTTGTTAGATTGATTAGATAGTCGGATCAGTGCTCAGGATCGAAGAATGGGAGACTCATCGCTGAAGCAGGCACTCGGCCCTGATCCAAAAAAATTAATGTCGTTGTTAGACACGTCCTAAAAATGAGGCCGGAGGAGGCTCCTTGGACTCAAGCGATGATAGCAGCCTTTGAGGTCGTAGTAAAACCAACAATAGGTTCTTCCAGAACATAATGCAGGGAAAGCAGCATGGCTTAAGGCTGAAATCTAACCTAAGATGAATCAGGGAGGTTCTTAGGAAGTGTTCTCGTAGGAGGACGATACCGGAAGATTGAGGGGAACCTAGAGTGGCTAATGGAATGTAACATACGCAAGCAGATGACAGTCGGCGATTCATTCAGGCTTAATCTCTAAATCAATTCAGAGAGAACCATAAAGATGAGATCCATTCCACCTATACCAAGGCATACCGGCCCACCACCGACAGGCTCCGTCTAAACCATTCGATCCACTTCAATGGGGGAATCATGCTGCCGTGCCCCGTCCGGTTAGCCGTCTCCCCGCGAAACAAGACTGGACAAGCTACCATCCTCTGGTTGTTTGCGCATTGACCATGTGTATCTCTGTCCCTTTCGGAGTTCCCTGTTTCGCTAGAACACTGCCGTGTTCCAGTTCCAGCAGCCAATACATGCCAGCGACTCCGTCAGCCTGGCGAGAATAAAAGTCGCCCTCCAAGGGGCAGCTACCGCCTTCTATGTCCACTTTTCCGCCTACTGCTCAGAATTCAACACCTCTAGATTACACAATGCATCCAGACACTACCCCAATTTGGCCTGAGTTTCCAAGACACAAAGCCTTCATCTTTTGGTTAGATATCTAAGAAAGAAAGCAGCCCGTCTACGGACTCGAAACTCTAGGACCAGTAGCCTAAAATAAGACCTACATAGGGTACGCTAGTTAAGTCTGGAAATTATTAGTTATTATATATCTCCCGAACTTCTCCGCTTTGAAATTCTTAAAATAGAGCTTTACTTATTATAATATAGTAAATCGTTAATCCTAAACTGAAAAGGTCGCTTTTGATTATTAGGGTCGACTATAAGGAGCGGTCTGGTAAAGGGGCTACGTATCGAGTCCTAGGGCTGATTTTAGTATAGGAGCTATTGACGGATAACTTAGAAAAGTTGATGATTTTAAGACGGAGACTGTTATCTAAGAGGAAATTGTATAGCCTAATGTTATAATAAAGAATAGTCGAACTATATAAAAGCTTAACGTACTTAATTACCTCGGTTACTTATTACTATTACTATTTTATTAGTATATCTATATAAGATTTTAAAAAGTCTTTAAGCGTTCCGTTAGGTATATTTTTTAAGGTTAAGGCATATTTGTTTAGGTTCTAAACCTTTTTTTTTACTAAGTAAGGATATTTATTAAGTCAATTATATATTTTAGCTTTTATAGCAATTTTATAGCGTTACTAGTGGGCGCGGTTACTTCTAAGCTAGGCCGTTTTAATAATAATACTATTTAGTAAATACTTAATATAGGATATTAAGCTTATTACAACAAAGTTACCTTTTTAATTTAAAGATAGTATTTTATTATTATAGCTATTACTCGTATAGGGAACTATATTCGGCCTTGGATGGTTATCGGATATTATAGGGCGGGGACTTGAGTAATAATATTTAACTATTTACGGCGGTTTAGGTGGAAGGGTAGAGGAATAAGAGGGTTTATATAGATGCGGTTCCTATGTAGGTACTTCGTAGTTAGAGGTGGTGAAGCTATGTTCCCCTATAGCCGTAGGGGGGTAGGGGGGTTGCTTAGGTATAGTATAGGTTATACTTATCCGTCGACCCAACTTAGTCTAGGCAATGCCTACGTATCTAACAATAACGTTTTATATATATTAAACTTAGTATTTATTAAGAAGTAGAAGGACTAGTATCGATTTTAAAATAGCCGTTACGCTTTTATTTTAATAAATATTTAAGGCCTCGTTAATAAAAGCCTATAGTATAATTTAAGGATAAAAGCTATTAGGGGTCTTAGTATAGATTATCGTACTTATCTAGCGAGTAACTAGTGGTACTATTATTATATATAGGGTAATAATAAGAATTAAGCTTAGTATAAAAATAGTCTAAACTTCGTTAGCTAGGCAATCTTTAGAGAAGTTGCGTATATAAAAAAAAATAAAAAATACGAAGCTAACTATTTTAGTAAACCCGCATCTCCTTTATATAATCTCGTTATATAGGAAACTATCTATCTAACGATATTTGAGTTAGGAGACTTATTATTAACTATAGCCTTTGTCTCGATATTAGGGACACTAAACCTTAGACGTAGTCTTACTAGTAGTAGATAATATTAGATTTGGGTAAGTTATACCCGAACTAATTATAGCTAAGCACTTTGCGAAGAAAGTGCTAGTTATATTATACGTTTTGGGGTAACTTATATAAGAGGTTTTAGTAGTTATCTAGGTGTATATCCTACGTTGTTAGCTTCTTATTTGTTAGTAGTAATTTTTAGTTAAACTTACTTAATATAAATCAGATGGGGGTTCTTAAAAATGGATGAATATAAAAGGGTGATATAAACAGGAAGAATTATGTGCAAGAGTCTTATATAGTCGTACTGTGGGATGGGCTAACGGAAGGCACATGAGCCATTCTAGCTTGGGATGACTACATTTGACTACAGACCAACATCGTCTTGTTTATCCAAGACGCGTCGGCGCGTTAAATCCAACTGAGCTCATTGGCTGAGCGGGGGGTCAGAGTACCTGCCTGTGAAGACATAGCTGTGAAGTATTGAGCATCTATCACAAATACGTAGTGCGTCCTCGACGATGCTACCTACGGGCTTATCCGACCCCTCATTGCAGGTTGTTCGTCGCCAACATCCGCTTACTACGTAGAGAGTTGAAGCCAACGTGAAGAAGTGTCTCACAGGGGCGATAGGCACGGTCCTTTTCCCGAAGTACACCCTACTGCAAGTTGGCCAACCAGAAGTGTCGATCTAGGACCTGGAGTTGGGGGTTGGTATGTCTGTTTCCTACGCTGCTCCCAGCTCTCTAACTTTGAGCCAATAGATGCTTTGCTTCTAGCGCCACGCCAAGCAGATTAACGGCCGCCACGAAAGACCTCCTAGTTCTGTTTCATAGGAAGACATTCTCTCTCGATCAAGCAAGATCTACTTCCTCATAAAGAAAAGCTCGCGCAGGCTTGTGGATCATCCTGTTGGATTCTAGTGGCTATGGCCGGTCGCCACTTCCTGCATGTTGGTCACATTGCATTTAACCCTCCAGCATTTCTACTGGCCGAGGACCAGGCCAAGTCCAGCAGGTTCGACGCAGTATGTGAACTCTTACTTACGTGCATGAACTAGGGGAGGACGTGACTGGTTTGATCGGTTAGAGAGATAAGCAACTCCTACATGGATCTCAGTTCTTTGCGGTTCCCTCTGTCAACGGCCCGTGACATTCCAAGCTGTGTAGCCAGTAGTCCGACGGAAGGGATGGGCGTGAACAAGGGGATGATATTTTTTGCAAAATCCCATGTCCTGCCCCGACGCGTAAAATGTGACATGGCCGACTCTTATTGCCACGATGCCTTGTATCCATACCGATTGAACTGTTGAAACCAATAAGCTAATTACACAATTGACAGGCTACGAATACGCAATCATTTTGTAGCGGAACCTTGATTGCGCCGTATTGAAGCGAATTATATGTTGAATGGGTCCTCTGGCATCGCCTTGTTTTCGGATTGTTTCCGGATTGTTTCCTACTAGAATTTCCCCCCTCGCTCGTTGACTATTCTCCTTTGCCGCGGTCCCCTGGGCGCTTGAATCGATGCCTGCGTCCGATGTCCACTGCTCAAACCATTTGCCGACTTTGCGCAGATGCTCAGAAAAACCCAACTTGGACAGTGTGACTCTTACCTCTGATACACTTCCACAGATGCTGCAACAGACAGGGATGGAGATGGGTTGTGCCCCACTTCCTTAAATTCTTGGCAGGCGACCTCCTGCAAACCGGTACCTACTGCAGTGGTCCACTATTCACACATCGGCTAGTATCTGGCATGTCTGTTGTGATCCTCTGAGTAAGTGCAATGAGTTTTTGCCCGTGTTTTAGATGTTTGTCATGCATTTCGAGCTAGTGTTAACTTGTGGTGCTCACATGTGTCCTAACACTCTGGTTCGCATGTCGTACCGAACGTCGGTTCCGATGAACTATCTTAAAAAAGTTATTATGGGATGTTTAGAGCTATCTAGATATCTAAGTCCTGGTATTATTCTACTCTGTGCCTAATGCGATTATTACTTAAGTACCTAGCCGTTAAGGCTAGGAAGTAAATATTTAAAGGCTAGGTCGAGCTGGTTGGTATCTTATTGCGTATTGGAGTACCCTATCCTGATAGAAGTACTACGTAGAGTAGCTTAAGAGGTGAATATTGGTATATATTTAATAGTAACCGCAGTGCGAAAAAGCTAAGAGCTAAGCTGTTTATTATTAAAAAAATAGCTTAGTTACTCTCTAGCTCTTTTTATATATGTCCTAAACTTGCTCGTAACCCTCTTTTTATATATTTAAAGCCCGTGCGGACCTAACTATTACTATTCTATGCTTAATTATTAAAGGTATTAAGTTGATAGTAGTATATTACTTTAGAAGGTATAATATTTGCCTAGCTAATAGATTATTATTTTTAACTGTTTATATTTTTTAAAATTACTGTTCTGGTAAGTTCGTAAATATATGTATATTGTTATTGGTATTTGTTAACTTAGCCTCGGTACTCTTAGATATAGACTTTGGTTGCTCTAGTTTAGATTTAGGTAGCTAGGATATGCGCGCTAGCTTAGGAGATTATTGTATTTGTACCTATTATAAAGAAGGCGTTAAACGTATACCCTATTTAATACGTATATTAGTTAAGTTTTTAGAGGAAATACTCTTTGGGCGTTCGGGATTATAAAAGTATAGCTCTTTTTTAGTAGTGATACGTAATTCGAGTTTTTATTAGCGTAAATTAGGAATAGGACTATTTTTAGGCTAGGATATTTAGGAGCGTTTAATAGGTTTTAATAGCGCTCGTAATGCTATTTATAAAGCTCTCTCTTTAAACTTAGTAATTTTATTTTTATTTAGGCCGAGTATATTTTCTAACTTCTTTATAATAAGGTTAGGGTATTTAAGAACAATTTCGTCGTCGTTACTATCGTCGCTATTACTTTCTTCTTTAGGTAAATAACTAGTACTTCTAAGTTAGACGTTATAAAAGATGGTAAGGTAGGTTAGTATAAACTAGTACTGATTAGTTTGCGGGTTCCTTAAGGAGTAAAAATCGTCCGCGTTTTGAGGAAATTATAAGGGTTCTGGCTTGAGAATATTATATCCGGGGTAATATATAATAATAGGTTTAATAGGGAGGGTTAGATTTTTTAATCTTTTATTGCGTATATAGGTTTAGGATTAGCGAATCTCGGCTTTAAGACGTTAGGTCTAGTTTTTGAAATGCCTAAGACGCTAATTCTAGGTTGTTATATCGTTTCTTAGGGTCGTGACGTTGTTTTTGAGCTCCTTAATATTAGCTTTTAACTCTTACTTAACGTTATTAACGGAGTATTAGATAGAAGCGAGTTTAGTATTTAGATACTTATTTTCGGAGTTTTGTAATTTTATATATTCGTTGTAAGAGAGGTATTATAACCGGTATTTGTTAGAAGAGGGAGAGCGAATAGGTAACGCTACTATAGTAATAGTAGTAAGAGTAGTAGTAAAAATAACTATTTGCGATAGTTAGGACGGTTTAGTTATAGCGCTATAGTATGGCTTTGTTAGGATATACCTCGATAGGCGCTTATATTAAGAGGAGGTAGGCTATTAAGTACTTATTAGGGGAGTTATGGGGTAAATGTTAGGCTTTTATTAGCTATTTTATCCTTAGCTAAGTAGAAGATATTTAGAGTTGGGTAGCGCTTTGTATAAACCGCAACTACTTAGAACTAAGAGTTTTTGCCTAAGGCTTATATAGTAATATTATAAATATTTGTATGTAGTTTGCGAAGGCCACGATGTAGTATTATTGTATTATACCTATCCTATCCCTTACTTTCTTAGTTATAGCCCTTAAGTAGCGATATTTTGTAATACCGGGGTAGTATCTGCGCTATAGTTGGGAATTACGCTCTTAAGAGACCTTAGTTCGTATTAAAACGCTAATTTAGGGTAACTACCTAGCTATGATACTATGTAATAGTTTAATC